TACTAGAACCCATTCTGGTAGCACTCAACCCAGGGCTCCCCATACCAGACGTTTGCACATAGTTCTCAGTAACGTGCGTGGCCTGCCATACAAGCGGTGGGAAGTTGGTGCCCTAATGGACAACTCACCTCCTGAAATATTGTTGCCTTCTGACGTCATGGACAGTGAATTATCCGTTCCGGGCTAGGCAATACGGTGACATGACCGCCCATCTGGTCGCCTCCGACATGTGATGTAAATTTAGCAAAAACATACTTTTGACTCAACTGATAGAACTGTTGAAGCTCTTGCAGTGGAACTCGGTACTGCGTCAACGTAATTTAATATTGTGCTGCAGTATAGGAATCCTGATAGCGCTTCAAGCAGCTGCATTGACTTCATCCACACTCACTCTGCGGACAGATGCTTGTTAATGTGGGACTACAACGGCCCTGAAGCAACGTGACAAGGTCTACCTTAAAAGGCAGCGGCAAAAGAGTTGGCTGCCGAGCTTGTCTGTCTGACACTACGAGTACGCTTACACCAATTTATCGGTCGACCCACCAGGTACATGGAGGGTCATGCTCTTTCTCTCTTGGACCTAGTTTGCGCAACGTCGGTTAAGTTTGTGAGGGACCTGGAGTATGGTCCTTTTTTGGGAGCCAGTGACCATGTGCGTTTGTAACGCAATTGTGCTCTTATTAGCGACTACGATGCACGCAGGGTCCAAACGCCGAACATTCGGCAGGCATGCTCAAAGTCTATTAGATTCAAGACAGTAAGTTCCCCATGCATCAGCTTGCCGAATGATAATATGCACGCGGCTTGGGATATGCCTAAGTCTTGGCTATCTAACATATCCCAGCTCCACATCCCTATTTCGATGAAGACGATGGCGAAAGTGATGCTAACACGATGCCAACAACTACGTTAATAACTTGCCCAGTACGTTTGTCTAGCTTACTGTTCTATAATTGGCAGGGAGGTGCCGGTTGCCCTTGTTAAATGGCGGGCAGACCATAGCATCCTTATAGTCATTGGAACAGGAGCAGCTGCGAAGCGATAACTGAACCAAACGCGTCACCGGGCCAAATTGGTTACTTGCGAATTCGTACAAAAGCTTTGAGTGAATATCCTCCATCCCAGCTGAGTTAGCGTGATTCAGCCCCAGTCGAAGAGCCTCCGAAACGGTAAGGGTTGTTAAACATGAGTCCTGTGGGCCTCTCATCGCTAAGCCACCCAGCGGCAACTGCTCCTCCAGGACTAAGGTACCGGCACACTGTACTTACTTACTGTCTGGAATCTAATAGACTTTGAGCATGCCTGCCGAATGTTCGGAGTTTGGACCCTGCGTGCATCGTAGTCGCTAATAAGAGCACAATTGCGTTACAAACGCACATGGTCACTGGCTCCCAAAAAAGGACCATACTCCAGGTCCCTCACAAACTTAACCGACGTTGCGCAAACTAGGTCCAAGAGAGAAAGAGCATGACCCTCCATGTACCTGGTGGGTCGACCGATAAATTGGTGTAAGCGTACTCGTAGTGTCAGACAGACAAGCTCGGCAGCCAACTCTTTTGCCGCTGCCTTTTAAGGTAGACCTTGTCACGTTGCTTCAGGGCCGTTGTAGTCCCACATTAACAAGCATCTGTCCGCAGAGTGAGTGTGGATGAAGTCAATGCAGCTGCTTGAAGCGCTATCAGGATTCCTATACTGCAGCACAATATTAAATTACGTTGACGCAGTACCGAGTTCCACTGCAAGAGCTTCAACAGTTCTATCAGTTGAGTCAAAAGTATGTTTTTGCTAAATTTACATCACACGTCGGAGGCGACCAGATGGGCGTTCATGTCTCCGTATTGCCTAGCCCGGAACGGATAATTCACTGTCCATGACGTCAGAAGGCAACAATATTTCAGGAGGTGAGTTGTCCATTAGGGCACCAACTTCCCACCGCTTGTATGGCAGGCCACGCACGTTACTGAGAACTATGTGCAAACGTCTGGTATGGGGAGCCCTGGGTTGAGTGCTACCAGAATTGGTTCTAGTAGGGCGGAAGTGAACCGCCAGCTCATCCCTCAAAACCCACGAAACATAAACTTTTCCCGCTAGCTCTTTTGACGTGCTGTAAGATATTGATGTCCCCGCTAAGTTTTATATTGTTCATTAACTAGGTCAGGCTGTATACTCATTCCGGAACCCTTTCGTCTAAAGTTCAAGCACAAAGGTTAGCGCTCCTCCGGTGTAGTCGGGACCACACGCAATAGACGGGGCCTACCTTTAGTACTGGCAACCGATATGTTCCCAAGCCTAGTAATTTTTGTACGCCTAACTCTATGAACCTCGAGTGGCAGTAGTTTAGAAACGTAACGTTTGAAACAGTGAAGGTCGTCAAGCCTGCCATCTTTCGGAAAGGCCGCAGAGGACTCCGCGATACTACTAAAGTTAACCATGCTTTCCATAAATCCAACACTACGACGACGGGTGCCTAGAACAAATATTATGATAGCATTGACTGGCCCAGCGCTGGAGTTCATATACTCCTTGTGTGCAGAGGATAAGGATTCCGGCAATGAGATGGAAGAGTTTTCTGCCTCCGCTACAACTTTTAGCTTGGATATGGTTGTAGTGATCGATTTCTTTATTTTTCGCCGCTTTATTTTCGCAGAAACACTGACCTGTAAAACTTCCCCACTCACAACTGAGTTCAATAAAACCCCAGAATGTTTACCATCTTCAGGCACCGCCTCATGTGTTCGTGAATCCTGCGAAGCCGTGCTATTTATGCAGTCGACTGAACCCACAATGGTTCCGAGAATTCCTGCACGTTCAAGGCTTACGACGATTTGCGAAACCTACCCCTTTAAGGTACTAAAATAATATAGAAGGGTACCCGCTCTGTCCACCGTTTCAACTTCGGCATTTTGGACTAGACGAGGTGCTTTTGGCTTAACACAATCAGGGCCATTATAAGATAAACCATCGCTGTTTTCCAGGAGGATATACTGCTGCCTACCCAACCCAGTGCAAGCCCCATGGAAACAACGACAGCAGAGGTCACATTGCGTGCCACCAGAAGCACCAGTAACCGGTGCTGAGCAAATTGCTTTAACACAAACAGCCGATGAATTGGTTAATGGGTCCGAGGGCGACATCGACCGGATACCTTTACCATCACATTAAAAGGAAAAGTTTTAGCCGACACTAGTTGCGTGAACCGGACTGCGGTAGGCAACAAAGCAATCAACGTCAACAGCATTCAGATGAACGCGGTGTGGCTCCTTTGCAAAGAGTTGGACTCGCAAACTAACTAAAAGTAGCAACGAATATATTAACAGGCTACGCCTACAAACACGAGCACCATAATAACAAAGGAACCACCAATTTCCCTTATACCTAAGAAAAATAAGGTTTACAGTCTGTTAAATTGGTTTACAGAATCTAGCAGAGAAATCTCCAGCTCGCGACAAAAATAGTTAGCCGATCACTACCGAAAGTTGCAAAAGGTATTTTTTGGTTTGTGCAGAAAACACCTAAAACTTGTTGTGGCAGGTAACGCTATAGGCTTCAGCGATAGGTTACTAAAATTTATCACCAAGTTTCTGGATTGGGGGATGTTTGTTCGTGTGGGGTCTAGTCTGTCTTTCCGTCATTTAATCCTTAGTGTGTCTCTCAGGTTTCGGTGCTTGGTGCATTTGTATTTTCTCTGTTTTTCATTGAGCTGCACGAAGTTTTGGGGGTGCCATCTCACATGTCGGCATATGGCCTAAGGTTTTGGAACACAGTGTTCGACCTCGATGGTAGCCAGACTCTGCACCGGGCCCTCGAAAAACTTTGGTACTAAACTGCTCTGTGGCTGTTGCCCATAAATTTAACAACGTGTTTCCTCTACGAATAGGGCCGCCAACCCCCAAACGCGTTATTTATTTGGCGGTAATGATTTACACCGTGTTGCCCCATTGGTAGACCTATGTGTCACATTGTCTTCAGTACTTAAATCCAGTGAGAACTGGAGGATAGCTACGTGCAAGTGTTTTAGAATGTTGTGGATGAGCCGCTTGGCATTCGGGACCATCACGGGCGCTGTTTGTTAGGTCATGCTTAACATTTGTCGAGCCACACTTGGAATACAGCATCCAGACTTGTCCACCTTGCTTAATCATGGACAGGATGTCAGTGGAGATAGTGTTGAGAGATGGAACCAAACTGGTCCATGGACTGCGGAACCATTCTTACCTAGAAAAACTACTTGCGCTGGGAATGTTCTCGACGCACTATCGTCAACATCGAGGTGACCTCGTATTGATCTAACGTATACTTACCGGTAAAATCGGACCCGATTTATCCAGGCTTTTCCAACCGGCTCGCTTTCCAGCCCTCCGAGGTCACTAGCTGAAGCTACACAAACCTCGATCGGATGCAATCCGGGCGGACTTTCGTTTATCGGGCGGAGTGGCGGATTCATGGAACGTGGTATTGGCACCAGCAGTGAAAGAGTTCGAACACCGACTCGAGGCTCTTGGCCCTCAATTCTTAACATTCCCCTTCACGTCCTAGCTTATTCGTCTTATTGAATCATTTAATCTATTACGTTTTTGACGCTCTTATTACTTTCGTACTTCTCTTTTTTATTTCCTGTGACCGTTGCGGCGGGGACTGCCAGTGCAGGTCGCCTGGGTATTAATTGGTTGACCGTGGTGTGATTCGCGCGCGCTGATCTAACTCTTCTGGATTCCAGTTAACACGGACGAATAATACCCTGGATCAACGACACGTCACGAAAGGAACACTCACGGGTATTTATCCTACTGTTCCGGTCCCACTTGAACTTGAACCAGAAATTATTTGATTAAAGCACTATCACAGAATAATAATCTCATTGCCATGTTTATTGGAATCAAATTTTCCTTCGCAAAATCATAGTCTGTTATCATGTCGAGATGCTGCTTTGCACAACTGAAGCTTACGTATCATTAAAAGTATTACTAAGGTTCTTTCGTGGCAATCCTTCTCCAACTAACTCTGAAAGCAGATGTAACGAAAAAAGTAAAGAAGTTATTTCTAAGAAAAACTTGTTAAAGCGTCGTTGGATAGCCAGTTTCCGGATTTTTGGCATTTAATAACATCTGCAACTTTCTTTTTGCACACCTTAATCAGCCTTTTTAAGTTTCAGGGCAGAGTCAATATCGCCTTTGTGTAAATTGTTTCAAAGTTAGCGCCTTTTGCTTTAGTGTTGTAATATTTCTATGTAACTGCATTTAACTTATTTTGCAGAACCAATGCTTGTTTTACTTCCTCTAATTTTCCTACTATTTTCTTTTACTGTTTCCACTTCCGGCTTTGGACTTTCGGTATCGTTTACTACGTCGTCCTGTACCGTGCTCTTCCGTTTTGTGAAATCAAAAAAGAAAAAAAGTAAAGGTGCGTGAACTATGAGGGAGAAAGTGGAATTATTGGAGAAACTGAAGTAATAGTGTATGCATGCACGTATTTGTGTGGGCTAGCCTAAAAATGTCCAATACTCTAGAGCCGTGCCATGTTGTAGATCGTAGTTGAAGCAGTATTACCCTTAGTACCTGCTAATTCACGTTGCGGGAGATGGGATTTATTGTTTCGGCTCAGGCACAACTCCAGTTCTTCCGCTGGTCAGCCGTTGCAAGTTGCCTGAACCGTACGTTCTGACATCTTTTGTGGCCTCACGTTGATATCTCGTTTTGGTTTGCCCACGCTGGTCAGTACGTTTCTTCGCTTGGGGCGCAATCCTCTACTGTTTCAAGGCATGGTGGTCTACCGCAGGCGTTCTTGATACGTACCAAGAGTGCATACTGCATCGATATTTTCCGTTTGTAATTCTGTAAAAGTTTTATGTATATTCGTTTTTTGTGCATTTTCCTCAGTGCAGGTCCCAGGCCGGAAGGTTGCCGCCTCCACCTGAGCCACGATCTTGCTCCCATCGGATTTCCAAGCCTTTCACAGTTAATAATCTGTAGTGTTTTCCGGCCTACTGGCAGTTTGCGCTTGTCTCGTGTCTCGGCCGCTAACTGCCTCATACAATTTTAGTAATGGCCTCCGTTAACTTTCGAAGATCTGGCACCGATGCCTGCTCCTTCTGTTTTCAACGTTGGCCTAGACAAGCGCATGTACTTTAGTACCGTCAGCGCTTATTAGAATCGTTTCCCAATCAGTCGATGGGTTCCGGGTAAGAGCTCCTTGCTTCTTCCTGTCAACCAACTTCGTCGTGGTTCCCTAGGTCCTTGGCACCTTTTGACGGCCTCACTGTTTTACCTTCACTTTTGTATGTTCAAATTTTAGGTAACTAACTAATTTGTATGTTAGCTTGTCCACATCAGTTGAATATGTTTGTGCCGACCCTACTTCCGTCATAACGCCAGCCCACTTCTAATCACAGTCACGGCTGATCGGTGTTTAACCATGGGTCGCATTTGCATCGGCTTTACTACACTAATTCTAATTTGTCTCAATTGCACTGGCCATATCAGCACCACGGGACACTCGGCTGTCCGACTGCAGGCGCAAATCGGAATAAATAACCGCAAACAGGGACCAAAGTTACTATGATGCAAACCTATCATTTCGATTACGTCGCGCATGTTGGTGTTAGTATACCTCTTCCTATGCTAGGTGCTGTATTCCCGTAGGATCCCAGTAACGCTAGATGGGGTGAATGAGCGTATGCACCGCGGGATGCATAGTTGCGTGTGCAGCAGTTCCCCCGCATTTCATGCATGGATTACCGCGAAATTTGTTAGTGAGCGAGTTTGCCCGAATATGTGTTGTCGGTAGTCAGATCGGACGTCATGTAGACACGTGCCAACTAGGGTCTCAACTTGAGGGCCAAATCGTCATCATCATTATACACGTTAGCTAGAGAAAAGAAACACATGTCATTAGCCCGCATATATTGAGGAGTCGGATAATGGAATCAATCAGCTTGCGTGCTAGTACCATGCGTTCTCTGCTTACTCCATCGAGTGCTACTTTTACCTTTTGAGGTTCCTCGAGCATCGATCACGCAAAGCCCTTCGGGTAAATTCTTTACATTTGACTCGTAGTCAGATGTTTTGCTGAGATACTGCGGACTACATTTTGCATTGGCGGGTATGGCTAATGTCTGGGATCGTACCTTGGGAAAAGCTAATCTTATTCTATCCAACGGGCTCACTAGCTGCTTACACATTTCGGCCTAGCGTCACTTGCTCAAAAGCACCCGTGCGATTTATGTTTTGCTATTTGACACGTTCTTTTCCTCGACTCTGGATAAACATGGCTGCCGTATTGATGACATGACGGTGGTGGAGACCTAGTAGAACCGCAGTGCTTATTCTGGCTGGTTTTGTTTCACCCCATTTGTCGGAAAGGTGCTGGACAGTCAACACCATGCGACGATATTTTCAGCCTAAGGCACTCAGAGTGTGCCGACTTTTTAGTTTGAGTATGTCCAACGGAACCGAGCAGTCGAAAGTTTCGATAGCGTTTTTGAATATGAGAAGCAGTCATAGTCTACCGCAAGTGTAATTCTACTCTCATAGGATGAAGAGTTAGGATACGCGACTTCCTGTTGAAAAATTAACTGACCTTTCGCCCATAAATATAGTCCGCAGTTGCCACCCCCAACTATTTCTTCATTTTCAACGACCCTCTGACTTTCCTAGTCATGCCGTTCCCCGTTACATTCTGTGCCCGATAGCCCATTTATTCAAGTGGGACTAGAAGGATTGGATTATCCCGTGAGTGTTCCTTCTTCAGCGGGTCGTTGAACTAGGATTGGTCGCTGAGTGCCCAGTGGCAGATAAGATTCGAATATCCGTAGGCTCATGTTTGCATTAGTTATTGCCTGTGTTAATTCATGTCGCCACAACTAATTCTTTTGCCGTACTCGGTGGCGGTTACATTATTCCACTGAAACTTGTCCTCGGATCGTTTAGGCGTAACTCTTCACATGGCATTCTAATAGCTTGAGCATAGTGAGGCAACCTTCCGGACGAAAAGTCGGCAGTGAACTGGTGCATGCTCAAAATGTGGTCGTCTTCCAAGGCTGTCAGTCTCCAGGTAGCACTACGCCACGCGATGCGTATGGCGATCGATCACCTGTATATAGCACATAGACTCATTATGCCTGGAGTAAGGACTACTTATAAGCGGTCGATGGTTGACGCATGTTTGCAGTCACTGTTCGTCCTATCAGATGTAGGACCGAACATACCACCAGTTGGGCTTCCGATTCACTCGCATCTATACTCATATCAACTAGTACTACATTCGAACTAGTAGCGCTGTGTGGTAATGTTTTAGTGATAACACTCTGTTAGCATCAGGACTACTGTGTGCTGCACTATATGCGGTGACCACGAACATTTGTGTCAATTGGAAGTCAAAGGTATTCCTTTGAAATTATGATGGTTTATTTACTTTACTTTTTTATATATGGCTGGTTGTTGACTAGATATTTATGTTTGCGTTATGCATGGTTATCCGGCGCACGTGAAGCCCACTGATTTAGCACCGGTGCGCCAAAGTATAGACCAACGTTTAATACTTTCTGTGCTGGACTGGCTCACTGTGAGCGAAGGAGATTCTGTTAACTGGTCGTTATGGTGAAGTCGCTGGCCTGCACAAATAATGCTCCATTAGGCAACATATATGTGATACCTTAATTCAACATAGTAAGTTGTAGTTGAGACAATATTTTGGAATGCCTGCTGCGGTACAGCTGTCGTTTGCTTATCTCATATATGTCATGGAAGTGGTATAAAGGCTGCAAAAGGAAAGCACACGGAATGCGACGCGCAATCGTTAGTCACCGGTCCAAGATAAGCGCATCTATGTTCGCGGGCGTTCCTCTCGTCCTCACTGCTAGGACATAGGCAATTGTTGACGCCTTATGCCTGCGAGGTCGGGGTTTCGGTAACACATAATGACCCCCTAGTGGTGGCACGCTTATTTGTTAACATACATACGCTTCTGCATGGATTACAACAAAGTGCACGAAGAAGCAATAACTCATAAGGGGCAGCACTACCAACGTGCGCTTATTTAGATTAAATGCAGGAAAACAGCCAACCTCCACTAAAGTGGTAGATCACACGTGCAATTGTAAGCAAGCACTACCACTGTCGTTAGTTAAATAACTAAATAATTATTTTATTCTCGACTGCGAGGCACGCCCATGGAGACATGATCAGATATGTACAACTTTACTGATATTTTATGGCAACTGTAACAGTGACAGTAGACAAATGTTCATATGTCCGTGATTAGAACTGTACTGGTGAAAATGCGAAACAATAATTTGGCTGTCGTGAGATCGGGACCTCGGCTAATAGTAGATTGAGGATCCTGAATGCTCAATAGGATGATAATTAAAGCGCACGCTCAAGAGAGATACAACAATACAGTGGATTCTTGCATTAGTAACGTAAAGGTCAACGGTGATATCGTAGAAAGCAAAAAAACGACAGCAAAAGCAGATGTAGAAGTTCCAGTGTAACGAACCTTTCCAGAATGGTGACGCTTGTTGACTTGCCAATGTGAACTTACGGGCTGTGACTTTATTCGGTGGCGAGTCACATTCGCCACGTTGCAGTGTTGTTAAACGGACATTTATGGCTTTTATAGGGAGCACCCTTTCCAGGCGAAAACCCACCACGTCCTGAAACACTGCCGCCAATCCATTGAACGACAAGTTGTAACGGACTATGTTTCTGGTTGAACGTTTGGTTTCCCGGTTATTCGCAGTCAGGTTTCGTCCCATTTTTCTGTTGTCTGATGCGTTAGCCGGGTGCCTATTGCGTCCCTGGGTCCTGTCTTGTGCTCGATTGGTAGGTCGGGAATTAAACATTCTTTTTGTATATGCTGTGTTGATCCTCTGCAGAACCACGTGAAGTCTCCGAGGGATATACATTGAAATATGTTGAGTTGTTGTTGAAGTCTTGAAGGATAGAATATGGTTCCGAATAAGGAATCGCAGATCCCCCGGGGTGTTGAAAAAATGGTTAGAAATGTAGGAACCCAGGGCCAATTGAGTGGTCAATACGGATTGAAGAGCTCATAATGACCAATTGTTCTGGCTTTGTATCGCAGGAGAATGTGTCTTCC